AACGACGGAAGGAAACAAAGAAGATCTTTTATCAATTCAGCTAAATTGATCACTTCATCAACCACTGAACTTTGTCTATCCAAATGAAAAATGAAAACAAAGCTTTTGAATTTAATTAACATGACAATTTAACTTATTGGTCTTCCGACAACTTCTAAGAGATGACAAATGAACTTCAGAAAAAAATTTTAATCTTTACACATTTATCTAGTCGTATCGCAGAATACCAAAACAATTTGTATCTTATTTTTCAAACAAAACACAAAACAAGCATTTTTGTCTTGATTTATGGCATAAATAAAATTTTTCTGTTCATCCAAGTAAGAATCATTTAGAAAAGTGCCACTTAAAATATTTTTGAAAATTTTGCACTTGCACTAAAATGCTAAATGCTAGTAAAAATTTCATCATATTTTAATTTATATATTCCCGGCAATTGAGTAGATCTCACAAGTCGAAATACTAAATTGAAATATTTTCGTTAATTTATTAAGCTGAATTGGGAGGAACTGAAGAGAAAAAAATGTCACAGATTAATTGCATCCGTTTTTGATGATGAATAAAGTTTTTTTTTTTGGCAAGCATTTGGCGTGAAATAAGGGAATAAACATTGAGGTGATGTGATCCTAAGAGGTTATTGAACATGATATAAAAGTTTTTGTCCGAATGACACAGTAGAGCTGTGGGTTATTTTAAAGAGATTTTATATTTTAAGAAACAGATTTCTCCTTTAGAGATGGGTTTCAAGATGAATAGTGTCAAGTCTAGCCTGTGAACTTGTTGTCATAATGAAATGATTGCCAATCATAGGTTTAAAGTAAAAGTTTTCAAAAGAAGACTACAAAAAAACTCAATTGTTGCCAGATCTGATTCAAAAATCTTAATCATTAGCAACTTTATATAAGGCTAGAAATCTTAAAACTCTTCTGCAATTCTGATTTCAAAATTCAACATTAATCAGAATCAAAATATTCAAGAATTTCTAAAAAATTCACTTTCAACTCCCTTAATCCTCATAAAATGACTACATAGGAAGAACATATAATGATTTAATTACAGAAAAAGTCACGATCAACATTCGACATTGTAAAATGTCGCACAGGTATCCTTGAACAAATCACACACAATTACAATCAACATTAATCACAATTTCGTACCGGCTGGTGGAGCAGTTTCACTTTGAATACCATCGTGTAGTGTCATTTTAATATAATTTCATAATTTTTTAACTCTACACAAAAATTTTTTTTTATATTCTTTCTCGATTTTTTTTTTCTTCAATTCACACAAAAAGTTTCACGTTAAGCACTCGAATTTTCGTGGAAATTTGATCACTAACTGCAATTAGAAGAAATAAGGAACAAGAAAAAAACATTCACCTTGATTACTTCCGCATTAATTAATTAACTTAAGCACTAAAATTAATGAAATTTATCTCATAGGACGTTTCAAATTGAAATTTATCGCGAAAATACGCATTAGACAAGACGTATGCTGTATTTACAGAACATTAATTATTTTTCGCGGTTTCTTCACAGTGCTCACGAAAAGAAAAGTTGAGTATAAATTGAGACAATTACTCAGTACACATTTTCGCAGCATCTCAACATGAAGAAAATCTAAAATTAAAGAGTAAGCACAACAATTTGCTTCGTCATTATATACTTGTTTGCTGAAATAAGTTTAATTATTTTAATTCTATTGTCGACTAATGTCTCGTGATTTTCTTCTTCATTCCCTCTTTTATTTTTGTATCATTTTTTTTTTAAAATATCTTTTCTTTTCTTCACTCTCAGTCTTTAATTCATTAGAGAAATTCATGAAATTTTCACTCAAAGTTGAAGTCATGAACTAAATTCTTTTACAATTGATAGTTGACGGATTCTTTTCTACTGTCTTTCTTTATTTTCAGTCAGACTTGAAGAAGAAGAAGAAGTTGAGATTTTTTTTGGGTTGTCTGATTGATAATCATTCTTGTCGATTCTTCAGAAAATTGCATTTGAAGATTAACTTTAAGTTTCTTACAGTTTTCATAAAATTAAACTTTTTAACTTTGGACAGAATAACTTTTAAAAGTCTTCCGAACTACACAGATTAGGAAAAGCCAGATAAATGAAATTGAGAAGAATCAAATCTCTCAGGTTTGAAATCTTAAGTTTAAAAACAATCTCAAAGATTATAATTTTAAAATTATCTGAAGAACAACATATGGCTCGATTCAAAGACTACAGGAAGTTTAAAGTTAATTTACATACAAGTACAATGTTTGTATTTGGTTTAAGAAATCTTTTGAAATGCTTGAAATTGTTGTAAAGATGTAAAATATTAATCTCAGTTATCATAAAAATATTATTGAACTTGACTGTAAACGTAAAGAATAACTTTGTTAAATAAATCAAATATATCAAAAATAAAGCAGGAAGCAATAATTTAAACCTTAAGAAATTCAAGAAATCTTTTCATCGAAGTATTTGGCTCTCTCAAGGCTTTCCAGGTATGTTAATTAAACATATTAAGATATAAGATTCCAGATTCGATCAGTGGTTCTAGAACTTATTGAACTGCTGTTTATTAAAAAAGAGAATCCTTCACTAGTCTTTTTCAACGTTGCTTGAGGAGCAATAAATTAAACTGTTTTAAGAAAGGCTTAATTTCATGGATCTTACTTATGTTAAACTATTCAAATACATAAAACTTTTTCTTGAGTTAACTTGATCAAGCATCTATAAGTTCAAAACTCACAGGAATATTCAAGGTTTAAATAATTTCGAATTTTTTCGACTGTTTTAAAAATTGACCAATTTGAAATTGAATTTGAAATTCATATAGAATTGTAAAACATTTTAAAAGATTTAAGATTTCAAAAAAAAGATATAAGAATGCAGATTAAATGAAGAAAAATCACAAAATCAACTCTAAATTTCTGCACATTTCACTTAAGTTCACTCAGTGTAGTCTGATTAATTTAAATAAATGGGTCACTGACAACATTTTACTAAAGCACAGTGGTGCCGTCAAGTTTTTCTTTTCGTCGAGCACTGCAAATACATATTCTTCAAAAAAACAATTCGAACTAAATTGTGAGGCACTGAAATGTTTTTCTTTAAATATTCTACAGCTCACGAGATTGTCACAGCACTTAATTTTAATTTAATTAATAGATTTCCAATCTGGCAACACTAATTGATATCCTTTAAATTGAAATTTTTTTCCATTAATCCTCAATGTCACACTTGTTTGAATATTTTAAAAAAATTGATAAATTAAGAAAATTTTTGGACAAAGAAATTTAAACTTTTGGCACTGAAATTTTTAAATTTAATTTTAAATTTCTCAAAAATTATATAACTTTCTCATTGTTAAAATTTTCACATCTCGAAATAATCCAAAAATGCACCATAATTCCGATCATTTTAAATTAATTTCGTCACACAATGTTCGCGATCTTCAAACGTCATCAAATTGCATGGAAAAAATCATGCGAAATTCCTTCACAAAAGCTAATGAAAATTCCTTGCACGATTACATCACAAAAAGATTTCTTTTTCTCACTTTTTTCTCTTCTTGGCTTTTCCTTTTCACTTTTTTCAATTTCCACTTTAATTGCACGACAGCTCAACCGAAACTGAAGTTGATGTCGACAGATACTTTAATTTTTGTGCAATTAGAATTGCATTTTGTCGAACATTACTCAAGAGAAGTTTAATTAAAATGAGAAGTTTCGATCTTTTATCATCTTATCTCTTGAGTTTGTGCATTGTTTTGTCTCTCATTAATTTGTTGTTGATTAATGCAGCACTTAATTATTCGATAAATTGATGTACATGCACTGTAAGAAACTTTGGCAATCGTGCAAAATTTGTTTATGTTGTGCAACTGGGTGTGTTATGATGCGTCTGGTATTTGACATAGAAATTGTTTGTGAAAAATTAATTTTGGGTCTTTCATAAATTATGTGCAACTTTAAGGAAGGGTTTGGGAATGTGAAACACTTTTTTGCTTAAGCAGTTAAGTGCCTTGCTGGTCGAATAGGTAAGGCGCTTGGCTCAAATTTGGGATGGTAACTCGAAGGTCGTCGGTTCGAATCCAGCCATTTTCCAAATTTGTTCTTTTTCGGAAGTTTAGATACTTCGACTGCTTAATGTAGGAGATCAAGCCATAATTGGGCATTTGGGCAACGTTGGATTAAGGAACGGGTCAGGAACTTGAAGTGTAGCGGGAGAAATAGGAACGAGAGCTACAAGATTACCTACGAATGGAATATTGTTAGAACGGACCTGAAATGTATCACGTCACGCCCACAGAAGATCGAAACGAGAGCCTTAGTTTATTTGAAACCTAGATATGAATATTAGAAGTTTGATCCTACATAATACTTTTTCATATGTATACAAATACAAAAGTGTAAAATGTGAATTATTACCGGAAAAAATGAAAAAAAAAACCAATTTTGAATCTTTCAAGAAAAGAAGGATAGGGGATCTCATTTTTTGATGGACATCATAAGTGATAGACCCTTTTTAAGAAAAATTAAAACTCTTTGAAGCCAACAATCTCATAAAATCCCATCAAAATTGATATTTTTGTGATGCAGAAAATTTCAATTAAAATCATTTTGTAGTAAATGTTCGTCTGGCTTGCGATCCTAGTTTTTAAAAATTGGTTCATTTAATCTATTAAAACCAACACGCTTTTAGAGTACCAAATTAAAATATTCAAAATAACGACTTAAAAAATTTCAAAATATAACGGTGAGAAATATTTTAAAAAGTTGCGTACGATAGAGCAAGCAAAATTTCAATAAAACCAGCAGAGGAAGTGAACAATCGATTTTTTAAGGTAAATCTAATAGTTTTATAACTTAAGGCTTACATTTTAAGCTCATAACTTCATCAATAAATAGAAAACAGTAGAAATATACAAGAAATTCTTAGAAAATTAAAAATTGTGGTTAACTTTCTATAAAACCTTAATTAAATCATCAAGAATCAACTCTTTACATCAGAAATGTCACAAAACAAACCACGTAGCATTGAATTTATAGCTAGATTAAATAAAAAGAGTGAATATAACGATTGCCTCAAACTTGGAAAGGAATTGATTAGAAAAAAAGAACCTAAACTTGTAGTTCATCGAGATATCTATTACAATACTTTACGCGGACGTTTGAAGCTAAGAGATATGATAGGAACTAATAAAGGCAAGCTTCTTCAATATGAACGGAGTGATATTCCAGGACCCAAATTATCAAATTACAATGTTCTGGATGTTGAGGATATAAATTTGATGGAAAAGATGCTCGACAACTCAATTGGTAAGGAACAACTTATTGATATGGGATTATTATTAATTTGTTCGTTTAATAGGATCTCTTGGATATCTAGAGTTGATTCGTAATCTATACATTTATGAACGAGCCAATATTTTCGTGGATGTTTTGAAGAACAAGCAAAGGATCTTTTACGGAATGGAATTTGAGATCAAACTGGAACCTGGAGAAGACATTGAAGTCGGTAAAAAGATTGCAGAAGATTTGATGAAGAAATTCAAGATCAACAAGAATCAGTTGCTGAAAGAATCGTATATTGAAGTTTTATTTCCAAAAAGTGATCAGAATTAATTAAATTCAAGTATTAGCTCATACGTCAGCCTTTATTTACACAATATATGCACACCTTTCGTATCACAGCTTTCTTCTTATTTCCACTTCTTATAGCAATAAACAAATCGAAAAGAACAGATGATTCAATATCGATAGAATCAAGAGCATGTGTGAGAACAACAAGCTATTCGAATGTAAAATTTAAGACTAAAGAGCTTCATTTTGTGAAAAAAAAATACGACGAATATTTTCTTAATGTTTGGCATTTGATCACAGAGATTCGTTTCGAGTGATTCACTTTCACGGGCACGGCTAAAAAAATAATTTTATTTTTCCTTACCTTTCTCTTCTATTGTACAGCGCATGAGGTTCTGAAAGTCATCAATGAGAGATAAGATGAATGTTTTATTTAAATTAAATTCTTTTTTTTTATTTCATCTCAATTTTAATTTGTCTAATTTTTCAACAGTGAATTTGTTTTAATTACGATAACATTTTTATTACTTTTTACTTTTCTTTGCATTGAATAATTTTCTATTAGCGCATTTCTCCGAAGAATCCAGCTCCCATTAATCAGTCAGTACGTAATTTGTATTCAGCGATCATTTTAGACTTTTTATTAATTTGGGAGTCATTTACAAACGATCTTCAGTCCTCTGTCACAACATCAGATCTCATAATTTATGAACGACGTAGCTTAAGTAAGGTCAGGTCTGTCTAAAACAATTTTGATTGATTTACAGAATTTGTGAATGACCCCTAAAATTGATCCTTAATCTGATTCTCACAAGAATGCGCTTAAAGATATTTTTGGAAATTTTCTTTTTGTTTCATACGTAAAGTTTCATTTACTGGTTCCAATATATTAGAATTGAAGACATCGGATTTGATTTTGTGACAATCTTGAGGATTAATTTAAATCCTAAGATCAATTTTTTAATCCGACCTTAATCTGTTGGAATTAATATAAATCCTAAGATTAAATCTTTTAATCCGAAGATTTAAATTTAAATCCGTAAGTCAAACTTCTAATGCTTGCCTCAAATCAAGAATCTACCTAAGATCCATGACAAATAAGCTTCAATCAGTTCCAATAATTAAACATAAATAATTTATTAACTTTAGATTCAAATGAAATGAAACCAAAAAATGTCAAAATGCAATGAGGCACACTTTTTCTTTTCAATTAATTAATTTGTAGTGGAAGCTCCATTAGCAAGTCATAAAAATCACAGTTGACTCTGAAGCTGATCCACATTAAATTAGTTACAAACTCATTTTTGGTTTGTGCTCATTTTTTTTTTGCTCGAGAGATTAATTCATTAAGTTAAATTATAGTAAAATTAAATAACCTATCAGCTAGTCTCACATGTCTGCTTTGTGTCAACTTAAATAAAAATGTGACATTAAAAAGCATAGAATTTTACACAGCTAAAGTAGAATAATTTTAAGCTATCAGAATATGTATTTTTTTGAACTTCCAAAAACACCTCAACATAATTTTACATAAATAAAGTTCCTCAGCAGTGCCAAATGAAGGTATGGGAAAATAAAGATCTACAAAGTTTCTATCGATTACCCGCAATAGATGCAAAATATGATAACTACAAATTATTATTTTAATGTATCATAAAGTCGATATCCACAATAACCAAGTGCCAGCATGCATGATATTCTTTGAAGACATTTAATTTTGGTATTTGATTTGTAAACTAGAACAATTGGTGATGAGAAGTCCTTTAATATCGGTACTTTGGATAGTTTTTTGGGATTTGTTTCGACTTGATACTGAACACATGGATCTATATCCCACGAAAGTGCATATAGACCCGTGCAGAAGAATGACACGACACAAAATGATCCACTTATGAATATATTTCTAGGCCATAAATAATTTGCTGCTATTGATGCTAATCCAGTGACTATTGATGTTTTACTTAAACAATTTCCAACTAATATCCAACGTGCAGTCTCATCTGAGGGATAAAAAAAATAATTAATGATCATGATAATAACTGCTGCACATTCAGTAAATTTACCTCCTAATTTATTTGGTTCTATTATTATATAATCGACTTTCTCAATCAGTGCCTTATCTAGTTCCGCTATGAAATGCTCATGTGCATCGTCTGTCTCGTAAATCTCACGAATTAAATGAACTATCGGCGATTTTAGTTCACTGAAATTGGAACAAATATTGATTAATACATTTTTTTTATGATCCATTAAGGAATTTGTCAAGCTCTAATTGTTACTGGATTTAGTCTACACACTACTGAATACCATAATAATGAAGTTGGGAGATAAAGAGAGACTTACTCAATGGGCGATAGCCGTTTTCCGTCACCAAATGCAGACATGATTTACTTAAAATTTACTAGATTAGCAAGCAATTTATTTTACATTAAGAACGGGATATAAAAAGTATATAATAATAATAATGTAAAGAGCACAATCTTAATATATAGACTTGAATGAGGCACAAATATCAACTTTTGAGATCATCGATATAAAAATAAGTTGATTTTTTTGATATTTTAAAAAGTGATAAAAATATTATTTTTGCAAAAAAAAATTAAAATTTTAAAATTCTCGCACTGATTAATGTCAAAAAGAATGGATGAAGAGATAATTGATTAGACAAAAATTGATGCATTATAGTAGAATTAAGATGAATTGTTAGCAGGCATTAGAATTATGTAAAATTTAATATTTACCTCATTTGTTTAGTGTTTAGTCGATTTCCGAGGTGCGAATCTTTAAATCTGAAACAGCCGTTATGTTAATTCAATACAGGAAGTAGGTTAAATTTGTCTAGAGCTAAGTCACAGGTAAAACTGTATTTCTAAGCCACTGACTAGACAAAATATTAAACTTAAGTTAACTTCGAAAGTCAAAAAATCTTGAAATGTTATTGTTGCACAGCTTTAAAGACTAGTGTGCATTTAGACTAGTTTTTTGTCGTTGGATTTGAATTTTCTACGACCGTTATTTTTTCATCAAACAAATCATCGTTTTGGAATTGATATTGAGATATTGACTATAAAATAAAAGAAATCCACTGGCTGATAAAATATAAACTTTAATTAAGGAATTGACTGCTTTTTTGAATTTAATAATTTTTTTATTTTATATAATTTTTTCTTGAATTGAATATAGCTTTTTTAAAAATATTTAATAATGTTTGACATTTTTGTCCTTACTTTTGAGTGTTGGAACTATGTTGGCCAGTTTCACAAGAAATTGTTTGAATTCGAGATGATTGACTTGAAAGACCTTTATATTCGGCCAGTGGATTTGACTTGATTGGCATTAATGGCTGTTCCAACAGACTCGGAGCATCGGGAGAATCATCAATTAGGCTTTTTGTTAAATTATCAGCTTCTTTTAAGACATTCGTTGATCTTTGTTCTCTCATCATAAGTGGATCAAATTCTTCGAGATCAGATTTACTCATTGTCATTGTTGCTGTACTTGATGGTTCCGTGTTTTGAGTAACGAGATTTGTATACTTGCGTATTTGTGCAATTTCTTCAGCCAATGAATTCTCGGGACTATCAATGTCATAACTTATATCATAATTTATATTCCTAATACCTTTTATAAGGTCGTTGTCAGGCGTTATTGCTGAATCGAAAACACTCGGTTTACCAAATATTGGTGAAATAGAAAGAAGATCTGCTGAATTACTTGTACTCAACATTCCAGACGTTCCATGAGCTGTTGTGCTCATTTGAAGTGTATCAGAGAGATTTTGTACTAAAGACTCAAAGTTTGTCTCGTCCATTGACGCATTTGGTAGCAATAAATTCTTATCATCGCTCGTAACTGTTGCTGTGACTATATTTGACTTTAATTGACGAGCAGCTGCTAAAGCTGATGACGAATCACTTGATGAACTTCTACGAATATTAAAATTGCCAGTTCCTGATAAAAATGAACGAACTTTAAACGGAGTTTTGATTGGCTTGATATTTAATGGCTTAGATTTGATTAGCGATGAAACTTTCTTCAATATATCATCCTTAAACTCTTTCATGTCAACCTTAAACAACTTAATGTCATCATCAAATCGATGACTTCGAGTGTTCAAGTCCTTCATGATTTTCATATTTGAACTAATTATATTGAGACTTTCACATGCCATTAATGCACTTTCCCATGCAGAATGGATATGATTCTCATTTGACATTAAATCATCAAATTCCTCCTTTGTCAATGACACAGATTCATATGTTAAATTCTCGATAAAGTTTATAGCACAGCATAGATTCGTAAAGTAATATCCACTCTCTCCACTCATTATAAATGTTGCATTACTAAAGCGATTGATATAATTAAGATTACTATGTAATCTGATTGGATTAGCTTTGAGCACGACAAATATTAGAGCTGGAAGAAATTCATCAGCACTAGCCGGTCCACCACTTGTCTGTTTTAATAATGTAAAAATATTACGACAGCATGCAACAATGCATTCGAGCTTTTCGTGCGGCGTAGCAAAAGAATCCATGGCAACAAGTTCCGTGATGGATGAATAAACAAAATCTCGTACTTCGGCATTTACTTCGTCAATGCTGCACACAAGATGCTTCGCATTAATCCAACTTAATTGCCTGATTCGTTTATGAATAGCTTGATCTTTCTCTTCGTCGTCAGTGTTTTGGGGCGAGAATAAATATTTATAATGATGAGTCATGATACATTTTTCGAAAAATTCCAGTGCTTGTTCCTTTACTTCCGTTGGAACATCATAGAATGTCAAATCTTTTGTTTCCATAAAATCCTTAAATCGCACATAACCATTTTGCATAATCTCAGAAATACGGTCGATTGATGCATTGCTATGGTATGCTTGATATATTGACTTATCTAATGCTTTCAACAGAGTTTTAAAGTCACGACGTGCACGATCGGAAATTTTTAATGACTGGAAAAGAAGTAGAAATTGTGTTAATTAAGATTTTGTAACTTTAAAGGTTTGCTAATCCATAGATTAAACTTTTAATCGGGAGGATTTCAATGTTAATCTGGAGATTAAACTAAGATTAGTAAGATTTATAGCAGGAATCTAGATCAAGATCCCAAACCAACAAAAGTCAGTCAGACGAATGAAGTCTAATTAGTAAATCACTTCCTGATCCAGTAAATATTTACACAAAATAAATTACCTTTAATGTTTCAAGTTGTGCTACTTCATTTGCCTCAATCGGCTGATGCTGACGAACTTCAGGTCTCTGCTGACTTTTCTTGTTTTCTTTTTCTTTGGAAGCAGTATTTGGCGATTTTTTAAAGGTAATTACTTCTAAAATATTCCTCTTCTTTGACTTTTTATCGTCATTAATAATGACAGTCGAATGATGTGGTTCTGGGGATCTAGAATGATGAGATATTGGCTGTGGCTGTAATTGTTGTTGTTGCTGAGCTGGAACTTTCCTTCCTGTTTTGGATAAAAACAATTGTTTTGTATTAATTTCATAGATAAACACAGCTTTTATCAGTAATCATACTCTCAACTATCCGCTCTCGCATGACTTTTTCTCGATAACATTTTGAACAGTATAGATCCCACTGTGCATTACCATAATATTCACAATTTGCTGCGAAAATGAATGGATTTTGTTATGAAATTTTTTCGACATAAATTAACCTTTATTATTACTAAATAGCATTTTATGGAAGTTTTTCGTTACAATAAACAATATAACAATCAATTGATTAAGTTAAATACTCACATCCTCGACATTTTAAAGATTCAATTCGTGGTTTTGTCAAAGAATACATTTTTCACAAATTTCACCCTAATTATAGCGTGATTTTAACTGATTTAGCTTAAACAACTAAGGATGATTAACGTAAGCATGCACAATTTTAAAATAAATTCAATTAAACAACTATAATTAAACAGAAAGAACTTTAAAGATGTTGACGATTTAAATCACAATATTTATGAACAAGTAATACTAAAGCTAAGCGTCAACATTAAAGCTGTGCGTCAATTTTTTAAAAACGCATCGAAACTTACCGTTGAAAGCTCAAATAAAAGCTCAAAAGGAAAATATAACCAAACTTGATGAAGCAAGTCCTGTAATGTCACACGAAAATTAAAAAATTCTCTTAATTAAATTTCTCTAAGCTTACATTTAACTTTTATTTGCAGTTTTGTTCTACATAATGCTTAATTAACTTAACTAATTTCATTGAAACCAACTTAAACCCGACTTTTTAAACATTAAGTTAAATTAAAGCTTTAAAAAATTCCGAAAATAGAATTAATAATATTGAAAAGTTCTTGATTCTGTAGCAGTGTTGAATGATTTCCGTCCAGTGTAGTCACATGAATTTCATTGTCTGAATATGCTTTTAATCCAAAATCGTGTTCTTCATTAATTACTGTTGCTTCAGTTGGCTTAACTAGATGAATTGGTGATTTAATGATTGAAAAGTCGTCAATCGATAAGTTATATCCAGCTATCATACGATTCTTCATTAATGTAGCAGCTTTAAAGCAATACTCTTTAGAATAAAGCTCAAAGTCATGATATAATTCTCCAAACTTCTTTAATTTGGCTTCCCAAGTTGGTTCAGCTATTACAGCTTTTTTGCGGTCGCTTGTGTCATTTGGGAATGTATATTTTAAGCTAATATCTAATACGATTGCTTGGATTGTATCTTCGGCATTGCCAGATCCTGACACGATCTCAGTAAGAATTTTCTTCGATGAACTAGGAGATCCATCAATTATAATGACTTTTCCTGATTTTCCTAAATTCTCTAACAATTTTGCTAATTTTAAAGCTAATATTGAGCCATAAGAATATCCAATAAATAGGAATTTCGAGTCATTTATATACAGCTTTTCAATATCCTGAAATGATTCCAAAATTATCGTTTAGATCTTCAAGTTTTATGATTGACTTTACCTTAATCAAGGCAGAGCACATCTCATCTAAATTACTAATATTCCAAATATTGGCACATTGAAGCAGATATGCTGGATATTTCAATTGGTTTGCAAATTCGTAAAATATTTGTCCACCAACACCTACAAATTGGAAACACAATTAAAGAAATAATCTACAAGAATCAACAAGTTAACGTACCTTCAATTCCAGGAAAAATTAATGCTTTTGTATTGCTGTCTTCTGCTTTATCATTAAGCTTGACTATTGTCAAATGGCTGGTACTTTCATCGCCAAAATTCTTTACTATAAATTCGAGTCCAACTTTTACATTTTCAGGAATTGCATTAACTCCGCTATCCTCAAGTGCTTTTAATTGTGCAACTGTCAATGAGCGTAGTTCCTGTGGTGTAATTATAATGTTGAAATCTCGTTCTAAAGTTTGTGAAATTTCAACTGTCATCAATGAGTCCATACCAAGTTCTGAGAGTTTTGTTTCCAGTGATAAACTTTTCATGTCTTTAATACCCATAATTGTCATGAGCATTTCAAGGACGCCACCTTTTCCAGATCCTTTATATCTCTTCTCAGCAACGACCATGCTTGCAACAATTGGACTGTCAACAGTAATCAATGTATCAAGTTCTTCTAAGCATGAAGATATTCTTTGTAGTAAAGTTCCTCCAATTTCCATGTCAATTTTATCTTCTTGCATGTCTGCAACAATTCCAACTTCTCCTACTGCACCCCATTGAATTGCTTTTGCTGGTAATCCAAGATTATGTCTTTCTTCAATTATCCTTTCCATGACTGAATTTGCCATTCCATAATTGGTTTGTCCTGCATTTCCACGTCCACAAGAAACACTTGAAAAGATGACAAAGTATTGCAAGCTTGGACACTTGGTTCTTGAGATCTCATCCAAATACTTAGTAGCATATGCTTTAGGTGCCATACATTCGTCAAATGTAGCAACTGTTTGATTTTCTAATATGCTGTCGCGTAGTTGAACTGCTAAATTGAAAATTCCACCAACTGTACCGATCCTTACAGCATCGTTGATCAATTGTTCACATCCTTGCCTTGTACTAATGTTTGATTTATTGACTTGAATATGGACTCCATAAGATTCCCATAATTTAATTCTATAGGCTTGATATTTCTTTGTTATTCCTCGACTTGTACTTAGAACTAGATTTCTGCAGCCTCTAATAATTAGCCAATCAGCAAGTTCCAAACCAAAACCTCCTAAGCCTCCACAAATAATGTAAGAATGCTCTGGATTGCAATAAATTCTTGGAAGAACTGAAATCGGGAGTGTAGCATTATCATCCTCATTCTCACGAATCTTAAGGACAACTTTTCCAATGTGCTTGCCACTTGCTAAAAATCGGAAAGCACTTTCAATCTCATCAGCATTAAAAACATTTGTTTTCAATGGCTTGATTATTCCTCTTCTCATGTCATCGTCCAGTAGCTTTTTCAAGACTAATTTTTCTTCTGCTGATGCCTTGAACATGTTGTCGACCAATACAGCATGGAATGTTAGTTCTCTTAAAAAGTCTCCAAGACCAATCTTATTGTCATTTGCCATATCAAATTTACCGATTTCCAAAAACTTTCCACCTTTGCCCAAGCATCTAACAGAAGCTGTTAACTTTTCTTCAGCTAGTGAATTAAGTACAAAATCAACTCCTTTACCACGTGTTCGTTTCATAATCATGTCTTCAAATGTTGTGTCACGAGAATTTCCAATATTTTCAGGTTTAAGTTCAGGGAACTCATTTAAAATGTAGTTCTTCTTTTCTTCTGTACTGACTGTTGTAAAAACTTCTAATCCATAAGCAAATGCCACTCGAATAGCTGCTAATCCAACTCCACCTGAGCCAGCATGAATTAAAATTGATTTGCCTTTCTGGATCTTCGTTGTTATGAAGAATGCAGCATAAACTGTTCCATAAACACATGGAATTGTTACTGCTTCTTCAAGTGACCAATTGTCTGGAACATCCCATAATAATATTTCATCAGCATCAACATGAGTTGCCATAGCACCAGCTGATTTCATTCCCATAACACGACGTCCTTCTTTCGTACCAGCAAATTCAATTCCCATCAAGCACATCAAATCCATTCTGTTATCTCCCATTGTCTCAGCTGACAGCTTTCCAGTTGCCAACATTACATCTCGGAAATTCAATGCAGCGTATTGAACCTTAACAATGTTGTCAGAATTTTCAACTTTTGGACTTTGAAGCCATTTAATTGAGGATAGATCACCTCTAATTAATCCATTTGCATAACAAGAAGCTTCGTATGGCGATGCTTCATAATTAGGGTTAACTAAGAAGTGTTTAAGGCTTCCCCATTTACCATTTTTATAGACATTAATTGCTAAATCTTTACTAAGTTGTGTCTTGTAGAATGGATCTTCAATATCAAATGGCGGTGCTGATTCATCATCAATAAATACACAACGCAAATTACTTCCACTTGGTTCTTTTCTGATGCAATTAGCTAGACCTAAAATTCCAGACTGGCTTTCCTTTTCAGCATAAATTAATGTTGGCTCAGTCTTGGCTTTTGTCTTAAACATTTCAAGCCATGAATAATTATTGTCGATATTCGTAATTTTTATTATGGACGATGGAGTTGAAAGTGGCACTTTTTTATATTGCATCATTACTAAAGTTTCACTATCAGTTGGTATGACAGCAACTATTTTAAAGCCTTGTGATCCTTCATAATCATAAAAGATTTCACAATCTTTCGACTCTCTGGAAATGATGTAGGAATTGTCACTAATATACTTTTTAACATTTTCCAAGAAATCAGCATCGAACAAGCAATTGGACTTGATAACAAATGTCTGGTTGCTAAATGCTGACAATTCAGAACTTGAAACAGTTGTTTGAGGAATTTCAATCTCTTGTGATGTTAAATAGTTTAGTTCCGCTGTAACAAGAGGAAGATCATTTAAAGCTTGTCCAAAATATTCACATAATGGCTCCCGTTCATCCTTCATGTCAATTTCAACACATGAAACCTTTGCAACTTGATCATTTTCAATCGCCAACTGCACACAAAATCGTCCAATATCAGTTTTTGAGAAACTTGGAGTTGGAAAGTGAGGAACAAATTGATGACTTTCAAGTACTGGAATTCCTTTTGGTGGACGTCTACTGACAGTTTGTGCCATAAGACCACGAATTTCTATACCACCGCATCGAAGAATATTCAAATCTGGGCAATATTTGACTTCAGCTATTGGATTCTCTCCTAGTTCCGACATTAGTTTTTCATGTTCATTCCTCTTAATAATCATTTTCTTAATGCCAGTTGGAAGAGCTAATGATCTAGTATCCTTCGATATAATTTGAATTTGAAGGAGGCAGTCAAGGAACGTAACCCAATTTTTTTCCCATTTAAGTTTGCCCCTTGAACTGTCCATTTTAGCTGAAACAACTGATTTGAATAAATTTTTGTAATGATATCCTCGTAGACGAAGTTCTTTGTAGAAGTCTGTAGCCTCAAGTTCCAGATTGTCATCATCTTTATCTTCAATATCAGTCAACTTAGAGTTATCGCAAAGACGAACGATTCCAGTAACAAGAGTTGAATTTCCTTCACTTACTTCAAACTGACCAGTTCCTCGATGCACCATAACAGTTAACATATATTCTGCATCCTTATTAATAGGACATGCTCGAACAAATTTCACATCCTCAAACATAACATCCAAAGTATTGAAGTTTTCTTTTAATTGTGCAGCAAACGTTTTCCATACCAAATGCAAGTATCCTGTAGCTGGGAATAAAACACGTCCATCAATCTCATGTCCTGCGATGTAAGTATATTCAGGTTCTGATAAATGCACATCAAATATTTTATGATTTACTTCTTTAGTGTCATGAGTATGAATCTCGTATGTTGCCTCGTGATCCCATTTGATTAATGACGAAATCATTGGAGTTCCTCTAGAAACTGGAAACTCAATTGGTGGATAAAGTTTGCTCAAGTCTAAGTCGATACCATTTTCAAATAATCTACCAAGAGCATTATAAAGTAGCATTGAACTTTCAGTATTTCCACGTTTAGTCAAACTAAAATGCATGCCTTCGGGTAACGATCGCTTCATAATTGCCTGCAACAAGCCATGAGGAGCAATTTCAATAGTTAAAGAATTTTTCGGAAGATTTTCACAACCTTCTTCGAACAGAACTGGATTTAACAAATTATTTGTATGATATTGACCAGATGAATATCTGCATTCAAGTGAGTTCCATTCACTTTTCGGTACACTTGTGGATATCCATTTTTCTGATCGTTGTTTTGGCATTTGAATAATTGGTTTTAATGTATTCAACAAGGTTGGACCTAAATTGGATATGTATGAGCTATGATAGGCAATATTTGAACATTGGACTTCCTTTGCGAAAATATTTTGCATCTTTAATTTTTTGACAAATTCAGCAACAAGTTCAGCTGGTCCTGAGATCGTGCACGAGTCTGAACTATTATGACAAGCAATTTGAATTCCGTCATCAAGCATTGATTTTAATTCTTTATGTCCAACTCCAACAGCAGCCATTGATCCGAATACTGTTTTATTTTCTATTGATGCAAGTCCACGTGAGTATGATGCAAGAATCATTTCCTCGTCTGTTAAGCAATTGTCAGCATATGCACATCCAAGTTCACCAAATGAATGTCCAATAATATAATCTGGTTCCAGTCCAACTGCTTTTAAAATATTTGTTAAGCCAATTTGAATTGCTGATATGCCAATGAATGAATGCATGATGTTGTTGAATATTGTTGGATCATCTGATGTGATGATTTTGATCAAGTCTATTCCTTTTTTGGCAAGGATGTCATGACACTTTCTGATGGAATTTTCAAAAATAGGAATCTTCATTAAATCAGCACCCATTCCAGTCCATTGAGATCCCATACCACTAAAAACCCAAACAACAGGTCTTCGTGCTACCGAAAAGTTATCAATATGACGATCATTACATGTTGCAGTTGGAGATTCAGGTTCTTGGGTATAAATTGCATATCCACGATAAGTATTAGACGATTGAGTCGAAATTTGTGTATTTTGAAGAAGTGCCATATATTCAGCATCAAGCGGTTGCTTTGTAACACTATCGAAAATTGCATTTATTGCTGCTTCAGTTCTGCCTGACCAAACTAACAATCTAGGAAGGTTATCAGTTGGAATTCCACGATCAAGTTTGTCTTTTGTATGTTTTCCTAATATTATATGAGAATTGGCACCACCGAAACCAAAACTATTGACTGCAATCAAGCTTCCTTTAAAATCTGTTAATTCAGTGACTGGCTTGAGTCGTCCTGATGCAAGTGCTGGAACATCTTGTCGAACTTTTGTTAAATGTAGATTTGGTGGAATTTTTTCATTCTCAAAAATCAAAATAGATTTAATGACTGAACAATTTGATGCAGCAGCTTCAGAATGACCCATATTTGATTTAATAGATCCAATTAAAAGTGGTTCTGTACGATGCCTGCAAAACATTTGATCAATCGAACTACATTCCTCTGGATCTCCAACTCGAGTTGCTGTACTGTGTCCTTCAATATAATCAACATTTTTTGGATGTATTCCGATTTCTTGATACAGTTCTGTGAATAATTTCGTTTGAAGTTCTGCCGATGGAAATGTTATGCCTTCATTTTTAAATCCATCAACATTTGTCTTAGAATAAACTACAGTAGCGTAAACTCGTTTTGCATCTTTTCTTTTTTGTAGGAACAGAGTTGTGATTGCTTCAGCTCTAACATAACCATGAGCGTTTTCATCAAATGGACGACAAATTCCATCCATAGCTAGAACTCCTAATCTATAGAAGAAAAGTAAATTAAGTTCAATTTTAAAACTTTGAATCAAAGTCAAAACTACATGATGAGCTTTGGATTGAGCTAGTTTCAAGTGACAAAATAAGCTTTACATGACTTAGTTCATTACCTAGAAAATTGAATTGACGATGATTCGTTAATAATAAGATTAGATCCTCCAACAATTGCGGCTTCACACTCTCCACTTCGAATGGCACTAAATGCCAAATCTAAGGCATAACCAGAGCTGCTACAAGCTGTGTCAACCTGCAATGATGGTCCCTTAAAATCCATTGAGAACGAAATGCGATTTGCTAACATAGCACGTGCTGTTCCAAGCATTCCCATGCCATCTTTAGGAAAATCCGAGAATATCAAGTAATCATCAATCTCAGCTGAACAACATCCAACAAAAACACCAGTTCTACTTCCTCGAAGTTCCTTTGGACACATTCCAGCATCTAATATTGCCTCGTATGTATGTTCTTGAAGTATTCTTTGCTGAGGATCCATAAACAAAGCAGAGCGACGATTAATTGAGAAAAAGTTTGCGTCGAACTTATCAAGATTGTGAGTTATTCCAGAACGCTTTGGAATGGCATCATTTACACTTTTAAATCTTTTACCGACAGGTTCAATCATGTCAATCTTATTATATAAGTTGTGACTTAATTCCGATATATTATGTGAATTTGGAAATCTTCCAGAAATACCCGAAATCACTATTTCATCTTCCGGATCCACTTTCACTCGACACATTTGACGACGCTGATAACTATCCATGATTTATTTGGGGAAATCTTTTTTTTTTTCACGTTAATTTAATTTCTATTTTTTTGCTAAGAACTCACTTATGTCTTCAAAAAATCACCAACCTTTGTGATTTTAAATCCAATTCTTCGCATTTTATAGTCCGCAATTATCTAATAAATTAATTAATATAATAAATAAATAAATAATTAATTCGTGAACCCGATAAACATTTGAATAATCAAAATAAAGCCAATTCAAGGTTTTTCAACTACGTTATAGAATGAATTACGTAGCTACGCCTAGGAAACATTTAACTAGCAACAAAAAATGGCCAAAATATTATTAATTTTTTCAATCTAGTGTATTTAAGTTGAATTTGAAGTTTCCCAAAATGAAACAATTTATTGTAATTTTAATATTAATTCTTTGTGCAGCTACACATCGTCTACTAATGTGCCATTTATACAGGTTGCCTTAACCCTAATAAACCCTTAATTAAATAAAACATTTATTGTAATTTTAAAATCTTTAAGTTTATGCAAAAAAATTCCGTACATGCCTGGAAACAAGGAAGGCACAAGCTTTTAAAGTTACGCAATATGATTAACATTTTTTTTTACTTAATTGTAAGTGAAGGTTGTTCTTGCGATAAACAAATAAATATTCAAATTTAAAGTTGTTTCGGAAACAAATAGGACTGAACTTGAAATATTCCGTATAATTTATCATCAGCCTAGTTGTTTGTTGAAAATTCTAATAAAACCTTACAAATTATCAAGGAATGGAACGGTTCTCACCTGTGCACAGGTGCCTGTATCGCAACCCTGTTCTGGACTAATCGTAAATGAAATTGTTTGTTTTTTAAGTATCAGAATTTCGATCGACTAATTTCTGGCTATAGTTGATTTTTTTTTAAATTTGAAACTCCAAGACAATCGTTAAGTGATCCATATATTCAAAACGATTGAGTATGAATTCCAATGAATCTAGCCTGAAAAGGAGAAGGTCATTAAAACCAGCATCATTTATTTTATAACTAATTTTATTTAATCATAAAATTTTCAAAGATTTTATAAATATAATTCTTCGGTTTTTGGACAGATATCATTAAAGACAAGGTGATTCAATAAATCTTTGGCTTTATATTAATTAGTTGTTAATTCCTATAAATGTTATTTGGTAAAATTATACAAAGTAATTCACTAAAATGATCGATTGTAAACAGGGATAAGAAATTTAACAAAAAAATGAGAAATTTGACATTTATAAAATGATTTTTCTTATTTATATTTTATTTCCAGTAATTAAAATCTAGAAGTAGTTATTTTTTCGTTTCGGTTAATTAAATTAAACGATTAAAATATTTTGATTATTGGTGTCCTTATCGAATTTAATGTTCACATTTTGTTAATTGAATTTTTCCGAAAGTTTTTGAAACTTTTCCAAAAAAATTATGATGCAACTTATTGCTCATTCGTGTGTATACCGAGAAATCAGCATAAAAGATTATACTGCATACATATTTTGCTTAAAGAAACTGTTAATTCCTAAATTTATCGATTTTTAAAAAAATTTCATAATCAATTGTTACATTTTTCCTCATTTTTAATCAAGTCTTTTTCAATAATTGTCTCCAAAAAATTTCACTTCTTAATCATTAAGTTTTTAATGAAAATCAAGATTCAAGAAGTCGACTTTTGCTAACATTTTATTTAATTTTCTTACTAAATCTCTTATTAATTATGTTAAAATTTCATTATCCTTTCATTTCCTGCATTTTCCTATTAGTTTTCAATCATCTTTCAATAACCTTTCTATAAAATTTTTAATCACTCAATTCACCTAATTATTATTTTTGCTACAAATTAAAATTTCAATATCCTTTTCTGGTGCGTTTTTGCTAAAATTTTAAGATTATGTCCTCGATTATGCTTCGACTATGTTTTCTTGATCCACTATGGGGCAAAATGAAAAAAAAAGGGACTTTCACTTTGAAAAATGGACTTTTCCGATTTACACTTTTTGGGTGATTTTTTCTTGTAGAGGACATAAAAGTAGATAGAAATGCCAAATTTCAGGTCATTTGGTGCTGATTTCGCGATTCTAGAGCTGTTTGAAGTTGAAAACTAGTGAAAATTCTGGTTTTTTCATACCATGTTTGAACCGGGAAATATCTTAACTGGTTTAAGATATTGCAAAACGGTTTTCCGTTCCTATTAGTAGTATATAAGAGCTTTATTTTGACATATAACAAAGTTTAGGTTCTGAATGTTTTCGTGCCATTATGGTAGAACATATGTGAAAATTTCAGGAAAATTATCTTCAAACAAGCCGCAACTATCATAAATGAAGAGTTTCCAGGCAAGTAAAAACGCAGTTTTGTAGCCCCATATATCTAGTTTTCAAAACTGTATAAACTTTGAAAAAGTAAGCTAACGTAATTGAGTTATGTTGATTTTAGTAGGTCGTTGAGTATTTGGCCAAAAACTAATAATTCTTTTAAAAATACGAAAACATAGTTTTAAAAATAGTTTTTTGGTGTTTTCTTATGAAAAATAACAATTTAAATGATTTTGTGAAGAAAATTTTTCAAAAACTTCAAAATCTTTCGAGATATAGGGGGTATGTGCTCTCCATCGATTTGGCCATTTGTCACCCTACTTAAACCACTATAACTTTTTTTTGAAAAAATATTTTTTAATTCTGTTTTCGGATTATTGTAGCCTAATGTAATACCTATCCAACGATATATAATACTTGCTAGTTAACTTAGTCCTGGTTATTTATAGGGCTGTTGATTGTGACATACGCAGTTTTTGAAATATTCCCAAAAATTGCATTTTCAAAAATACCACTTTTAAGCAATCTCGAGTATTTTTTGGACTTTTTTAAGAAATGTTAAGTCTGAAAAAAGCTATTATCATTAGAGTAATAAAAAAAATACTCTGATACGCAACTATAATAGGTAAAATTAATAAAGTTTAATTTTTAGTTTAATGAAATTTTGTTTATTTGTCAAGAAATTTAATTTACATTTTTTTATCATATTTAATGAAATTTATTTATTCATTCGTTGTTTGCTTCTTCAGAATATTCATGGTCTTGTCCTTCGGAATAATCATAGTTTTCTGCTTGGGAAAAGTCATAACCTTCTCCTTCTGGCTCAATCAATTCAATTTCTTCCTCATCTTTTTCCTCATTTTCTGTTTGTTGCTCAGGTGTTTCACCTTCTTCTTGGACATTTTTTCTCATTAACCTTTTATTTATTACATCCATATATTTTTTTATTATTACTGGATCAGAACTGTAGAGTCTTCTATGTATAACATCCGTAAAACTGTGTATTCTTGAAGTTTTTCTGGCACGTAGTTCTCTATCTTGTCTGAGATATTTGTTTTGTGACTCCCCGGCTTCTTCACTCATTCTTCCTAGAGGTAATGGTAAGGCTTCCATGTAGTGTTTTGCATGAGCAAGTGCTCTGTGAAGTGTTACTGGTATTTTGAACCAACTATATGTTGTCAAAAACATTCTGTATGTTTCTTTACAGTACCTATCAAATTCATCTAGATCATCAACTGGTTCTAAACTTCGAATTTGGTTTAGCACATAGCATATACGTTTAATTATTTCTTCATTAAGATATAGAGTTTTAGCTAGAAGCTCTGGATTTTCAAGAACTTTTCTTGCAACGTTTCCTGTATCTGATGATCCAGCTCCCCCTTGTCTTGGTTCGAGTACACGAACATTAAATGCATCCCACATTGCTTGCTTTATTCTAGCCTTTTCAACATCTAAAACAATCTGTTCCTCTTCAGTTATCTCCAGCCAGTGTTTTTGAACATATTGTTTATATGACAAATCATATAGAGTCGTGAGTACGTTCATTGATGTATGAAGTGGCTGAGTGTTGAAATACAAGTGTTCTTTAACAAATTTTCTGTGTGTTTTTTCGAATCTTCCATTATCAAGATTATTTATGTCACTCATCTCGTTTGGTCCAGATCTACAAAGCTGACATCTGCAATATCCTGATGTTTCTGTAAGGTCTGTGTAAACTTTTCCATCTAACATTGTGGGGTAGAATTTGTACGTAATTTCCAAAAGCATGTCTTCACATATGAATCTCTGTGGTTCAAGTTTTGATATTTGATTTTTTATATCTTCATATATCCTTCTAACATTTACTCTGGTTTCTTTGGCATGTTCAAGTTGTATTGGTCGTACTGAGTATACAGATTGACTGTTTTCGTTGTCCCATAAGCAGATATAATTTCCGTTTTCGTCTTCATGTCGTAGTTGCTGAACACTCATACTAACTGTCAATAGTGATTTGTCTTCTATAATTTCATTATTAGTCGTTTGATTCGGTTGTGTTCTATCTCGTTCTTGATTTCTTGAATTTGTTTTTCCTTGGTTATACTGTGACTGTCCTGTTGTTCCGTCCATCCCCCATGTGACGATCATTTCTGCATGAATAACTTTTGGAGTTGATTCTGAAGGTAATATTTTGATTTTGTCGTATATTTCTGAATTGTGTGCTTCAATAACTCTTTTTGTGGTGAGTTGTGTCAAATTTTTTAGTGGAATAACGGCTCTTGTATCGGTGACCGTTATGTCATCAGGATAGCATTGTTTCTCTAACCTCAACAATTTTTTAGCTGTCGGTAAAACGTTTTCGCATTCCAGTTTCAGGACTTGTCGAATATTGTTGTACTGATTTCGAGATAAATTGTTAAAGGCTTTTACACCTAGAGCTACATGTATATCTAGTTGTTTAGGTTTTGATGTAGTTTTTTCTGGAAGATCCTCTCCTTTTTGGCACGCCTTAATAAATTCTTTTAACATTTTAGCTCCTTCTACTTTTCCTTCTTCTTTAGAAAGGCGAAGTGCCAAGTGAAGAACTGATAACAATGATCCTTTTGCTTCTTTTAAACTGATATCTAATTCGTCCACTCTTCTACGTCGATGCTTATCGCTTGTTAGTTGTTCAAATGATTTCCTCTTGATGCCCTTGCTGGATGAAGGCTCTATGTCATGGACGATGTATTCAATCTCATCCATATCTTCATCTGTGTCAGTAACATTTTCTGCTTCATATATAGATTCTTCCTCAAAAAGAATCCCTCCACTAGATTCGCTGAAGTATCGTGAGTCAACTTCAAATTCCTCTTCATAGAAATCTGCATGATCTCTTAATGCATTATTCCAATTTGACTGATTACAAAACATTTTTGACTTTGACTTCAGCTTGTTTAATTTATTAATTAAACTTGGTTTCTGTGATTCCGCTAATTCTCTCCCATGAATTTCTTCTATTACTGCCAAACAGTACGTGTGCTGTGTTGCAAGATTTAACGTTTTGTCGCGAAGAATTTCACAGAGTGTTTTCTTCGTAAGTGTTGAATTTTGGTTCATTTTTGAAAGTGACTTGTTCAATGAAGTTCAAAACTGATATGATGTGTAGAGAGAATTTCACGAGTATATATATAAAATAGTTTCAAAACTGAGATTTTCACACCTGATAGTGACTACCAAGGGTACTTTACAAAGTTGTTAACTAGGGAAGTAAAAAGTTTCTAAATTTAATTTTTTGGCTTTATAATCTCATAAATGTCATAAATAAACATAAAAAAGTTCTAAAAAAATACTCGAGATTGCTTAAAAGTGGTATTTTTGAAAATGCAATTTTTGGGAATATTTCAAAAACTGCGTATGTCACAATCAACAGCCCTATAAATAACCAGGACTAAGTTAACTAGCAAGTATTATATATCGTTGGATAGGTATTACATTAGGCTACAATAATCCGAAAACAGAATTAAAAAATATTTTTTCAAAAAAAAGTTATAGTGGTTTAAGTAGGGTGACAAATGGCCAAATCGATGGAGAGCACATACCCCCTATATCTCGAAAGATTTTGAAGTTTTTGAAAAATTTTCTTCACAAAATCATTTAAATTGTTATTTTTCATAAGAAAACACCAAAAAACTATTTTTAAAACTATGTTTTCGTATTTTTAAAAGAATTATTAGTTTTTGGCCAAATACTCAACGACCTACTAAAATCAACATAACTCAATTACGTTAGCTTACTTTTTCAAAGTTTATACAGTTTTGAAAACTAGATATATGGGGCTACAAAACTGCGTTTTTACTTGCCTGGAAACTCTTCATTTATGATAGTTGCGGCTTGTTTGAAGATAATTTTCCTGAAATTTTCACATATGTTCTACCATAATGGCACGAAAACATTCAGAACCTAAACTTTGTTATATGTCAAAATAAAGCTCTTATATACTACTAATAGGAACTGAAAACCGTTTTGCAATATCTTAAACCAGTTAAGATATTTCCCGGTTCAAACATGGTATGAAAAAACCAGAATTTTCACTAGTTTTCAACTTCAAACAGCTCTAGAATCGCGAAATCAGCACCAAATGACCTGAAATTTGGCATTTCTATCTACTTTTATGTCCTCTACAAGAAAAAATCACCCAAAAAGTGTAAATCGGAAAAGTCCATTTTTCAAAGTGAAAGTCCCTTTTTTTTTCATTTTGCCCCATAGTGTGATCTAATAATTAAATTAAAGTTTTAAAACTAGCTTTAAATTCTGATGTAAATAAACAAAATCATTCAGTAATACATGACTTCATTTCATTCTAGTTCAAAAAAATCTAATTTGAATTTTAAAAGACTTTTAAATTTAAAAATCCTTAATTAAATTCTTATAGTTCAGCAAAAACGCACTTTAGTCATTCACTTCAAATTATTTTTTAAAAGAGCATTTCTATCATTCAAATGCATATCAGCACCATTATAATCCCTTCATCTACATAGTTACTATCATAATCACTGAGGTGAGTTAAATCCCATCCATCAATTCCATCATCATTCAGCTAACTGAAATACTTGAGACCGCAAACCAATAAAAACTTTTCAATAAACAACTCAGAATCAAGCACAGCGATGTGAGCTGCTCGTCCTATTGAGAGTAAAGAGATAAAAAGTTTTTAAGTAGATTAAAAAGGCGTCTTCATGTAAGAAATACTATGTAAACTTCCCAAAAGGGAATAAAATGATTCACATTAGAAACGATTAAGATAATTTACCTATGAGAGTGTTTGCTGTATTTGGAAGGGCATGGTGAACATCATATCGTGCTAATGTCAATTCCGGTCTCGAGATCATTGGCGCAATTATATTGTGAACCATTTCCCTGAAAGATTGAGAAAGTTTTTAAGTAAAATCAAATTATGAGAATTGTTTTAAAGGTGTGAGATGGCAAACAAGTTACTGAGAAGTTTGAGGTTATGTTTTGATTTTTTTAAGGTTATATTTTGATTTTTTAAGGCTATATTTTGATTTTTCTCTTGAGATGATTCTTATTGTGTTGCTTACAGCTTGCTCATTATTGAGTATAAAGAAGTAAGCTATAGAAACACAACAAAGAAAGTTAAAATACATTAAGGTTGAGTTAATGGTCATCACATGAAAAAGCTTTTGTCAACCTCTGACATAAAGCCATAAAAATTCAAAACTGATAAGACAGGCACAACCTTTTATTGTATTAGCATCGACCAAAAATATTTTTTTCTTTTCACCAAAAAAAAAGGACAAAGCCATAAGATCACAAAAATTGATAAGTCGAATACCTGTAAATAACACCCAAATTAGATTGGTCTCTAATGGCTGCTTTGCATAGCTCTAATCTTGCTGAATGAGGTGGCACGTAACGATCCTGTGTTGATCCACACAGAAGAATATTTTTAAAATGATGCAATGTGCTCCGTTGACTTAGACGATACAGAAAACTTTGCCGCATATCAGACGAGTCTCGCATACATAATTGAAGTAATGAACCACTTTTCTTCCATTTTTGCATGAACCACATACCTGTAGATATGATAAAATGGAAACATGTACATGAAAAGTATGTAGACACAAATGAGGGTGAGTTAATGTTCAGGTTACTTACCCATATTGACAAGTCCCGATGAATTATATAGTGTTCCTAAATGTGGACCCGATAGCGATAGAAAAGTGTATAAACGTGGCAATAATGGTCTCATTTGTGGCCTCGACAGGGCTGATCTTACAATTATTGTACCTAATGAATGTGCTACAAATGATATTCTACTCGGATTTATTCCATACGATTCGATATGGTACAAAATTTCACCCACAAGACGATCCGTCATTGTCTCAAAGTCGGAAAATGTATCTCCTTGGTTTCGTTCCGACATTCTGTGCATGTAAAGATGAAAAGAATAAAATAAAAGGTATAAAAAATTTGCATGCGAATAAAAGATTCATCCATAGATAAAGAAGCACTAGAAAAAGCACGAAAGGAACTAAAATGAACAGCATGATAAGTGGGAAAAACAATTGAAATGAATATTTCAACGCATGGTTCGAGAAAATTGTATGGAATAAGTTTCCTATAAATGCATTCTTGAATTTTAACGACATTTTAAATTTTTTTAAAAGTATAAATTGAGCATTTAATCCCAGCGAGGCAATGAATATTCAATTTAAATGTTTCATTTCAATTTTTCAAAGTGATGCTGTTTTTTCGAGATGATAAAAATTTTGTTATAAGAATTTCCCATCATGTTGTTTTCCCCTTGACCCAAATCTAAACTTACAGAAACTCCAAATGTGCACCAGGCAATCCAAGCTCCAAATAAGTTCGAACTAGTCTCAAATCAGCTGAATTACCATCGAGACCGTGTACACAGACTATCAAGTGAACACCGGCTGGCGAGAATGATCGATATTCATCGCTGATATGAAAGTATGGCATTTCCGATGCAAGTGTCTTAAAATCCGAATAGATTGAACCAGAATAATTGATTTGCTTTCGAAATTCTTCACGACACTTTTCAAATTCCATTAATTGCATGGGTGGAGGCAGATCACGTTCATTATTTGAATCGGAACGGTCTGAATTTTGTGCTGGCGAGTTTGGCTTTGATGGATTCTTTAAATGATTGTGATGAGTTTGACTAATCATTTTATCATTTACTGATGCAGCACGAACCATTGTTAGCAATTCATTATTGCTCTGTGATTTAAAGAATGGTCTTGATGGTCCTGGCTGCCTTCTATACTCATAGACATGATACAATGGATTATCAATAGCTTCAATAATCTGTCCTTTTGGCAGAATTGATATACAAATTGGATTTGTAATTTGATTACTTGAATTCTTTTGCGATAACGGTGGATGAATTGTAGTTCCTGTAATTACAACGGTTGCTGTTGTTGTTGTTGCTGTTGATATTGATGCCACAGGCTGTTGATGTTGTATTATTGGTGTAGAAAGAATCTTTTGTTGTTTCACAGCCGACGGTGGTGTTTTAACCTTCTCATTCTCATTTACATCATCATCATTTATTGATGGTGGATCACGAAACTCATCGGGTGGAAGTAAATCACGAAATTGCTGTGGAGGTGGCAAACGAAGATTTTCAAATGGCTGATCCATGGATATTGATGTCAGATCAAATTCTGATTTTGATTTTTCAGATGGCTTTCGTGAACGTCTATTTCCACCAATCATCTTACTGTCCAATGTCAGTTGTCTATCGAAGAATTTCTCATCCGTTTTTAAGTCACTCTTATTATTACCATTATTAATGTTGATAATGTTCTTTTGGGGCGATGAAGCAATCGGTGGAATTTTCTCAACCCAATTAGTTTGGGTTATCTCCCACGCTCCTGATGACTTCCCATTGAATGTTAGTGATTTGTTCCGTTCAATTGCATTTCCACTACTATGACGCTTTTGCTGTAGATGATTTCCATTGTTGTTACTATTGCCGTCATTAACAGAACGTCCTGAAATGTTTTTCTTCTTCTCGACCGAACCTTTTCTCTGTGGCTGTTCCTCGAGTAATTTTAATAACTTCTTACGCAGTTGTTCACCATTAAATGAACGCTGTTGATCGTTCCTATATGTTTCCGGTGATGACGGTAAGCTGCTCCGATGACTCGACACCCAACCGCTTTGTTCGCTTAATGATGATGTAGATTCACTACTACTTGCACGATTCTTTGATTTCATCGATAAGGGTGGCGAATTTGAGAATGCTGGAGGTGGAGGTGCTAAATTTGGTAAGCTCTCGCTGAAACCGGGTGGCCCATTTTGATCGGTTTCGAGTAATTCAAGCTTAAAAGGAACACTTCTACTCGATAAGAGCCTTTTACTTCTTCGTTTTGGCGTAATTGTTGTGCTTTGATCCGTACTACTCGACTCATTACCATTCGTATATTTCTCATTTTGTTGATTTATTACTTTTTTAAATTCATTCATGCGTGCTCTCGAATATTCGTTGCGGTCCTTTCCAACCGTACCATTATTGCCATTCTGTTGTCTTAGGGCTTGAGATGAATTACTTCGGGGAATTGTATTCATATTCATTTTATTATTTTTGTTCGTTGTTCCTACATTTGTCGTCGTTGATGCTTTAGATGAGGATTTTCCGCTCTTTTTGCCACGTATAGGTGGAAAGGAATTTCTCGGTGGAATTGTCATACCAGCATGCTTTGGCAACGAATTGTAATAACATGAATGTTGATTATTGGTACTTCCACCATTGCCATGTTGACTATTATTACCGTTATTGTTACTTAGCTTCAATTCATGCACGTAATCTGTTTTGGGATTATTTTTATTAGAGCTTAATGTGATACGATTTAATGTAAGGACATTTGTGTTTGAATTCAAATGAATTTCTTTGGGGAAGATTGTTGTTGTCTGATTTTGATGGTTAATAGGGCCATTTGTCAACTTGTTGGGATGAACATCATTCGTCAATTTTGCTAAGCTTTTGCTTCCACCATTCGATTCGTTGGGATTCCTATACTTTTCTTTAAGCTCATTTATATTCTTTAACAAATCTTCAGCTGTATTTTTCTTTTTTGTTGTCGTTGCGTAGATTGGCTGTGCTTGCTGCTGCTGTTGTTGATGATACGTCAGTACTGGCGCTTGAGGTTTCGTAATTAAATTAATATGTTGACTATTCATCGTGTTCTGTCTTGGTAATGAGTTAACGATGAGATTTTGTTGTGTCTCTAATTGATCAAGTGATTTACTATGTCGTGTTGGTAACGTACAAGCCGCCCCAGGGATATAAATTTCACGAAATCCATGACACGTTTGTGGCTCCGGTTCAAGAACATTTGACACAGAATGCCTCGATAATGTTCGACCGCGTAGACCATTTTGTGCTGCGGCAGGTATGATTGTTAAGCTCGCTTGAAGGACATCACTGCCAAGTGCAAATCGAGGTGTCATAACACCCATTAAACTATTTGCATTTAATTTCGGTAATGGCTCTAAAAATCCACAAATATTTCCATTACATTGACTACTCAACCCACATGAACACTCTTTGCCATTTACTAATGCTGGTACGGTACAATTGAAACCTCCGGATGGCTTTGATGTTGATTTTGTACAATGAATATGAAGACTGCTATTATTGATGTGTGGATCACTTCCAGTTCTACGTCGATTTGTCTCTGTCGAATCCTGATATCTATCCTCAAAAATCAATGGCAATGAGGTCGGGTCACCATCTGTGTCGATGCAAGCAGTCATGCATGAATGAAAAGGGAGAGAAAAAATCAATTTCAATTAAGAGATTTTTTTTCTAAATTGATTTTTATGCAAATTAAATGAGCAAATAAATGACTGAGCAATATTGGGATACAGGATATAAGTAAGAAAATTTTGAGATTGAATGACTAAAGAGCATTTTCAAATTTCACTAAGTTTTGAAGTTTTAGACAGAATTAGCTCAAAATGAGAGCTCATCACTGGCTGCACTATGAACAACCAATTTTAGAGTCATTATACCAAAATATTGCTGCCTATATCTCAATTTCCTCCCATAAATCACATCAATATTTCACAAGAACAAAGTGAATGAACTGCTACATATTTAATTTTCATAAAACAAACAACAAAAAAAAAAGGAAAAAGTCATTCATTATTCTCAACTTACCCAACGGAACACAATGAACTGGTAATGGTGGCAATGAACTTAAATATTTAGAACGCCTCGCCATTTCACATATCATGCCATAATTGTGATAATTTGAATCTATACTACCCGTTGCCAGATGACGTGGATTATCGATCACAAAGAAACCCTCAGCAAAGCGACGTACACGTAAAATATGATGCTTTTTGGCAAGAAGAGCATGTACGGATGGTTGATTGGCAGTTGAGAGCGTTCGACGCCAAAATAATATGCATTCTGCACATAATTGTGCTACGTCTGAATTGGCTTTTGCTGCAAAATCATCCTCATTATCAAGTGCCTGTCGATGAACATAAATCAATGAATATTCCATACTTTATTAAAAGAAAATCGATTGAATATTAACCTTTGCAGCATCTACGAGTTTGTGCAATCGCTGTTCTGTTTCAATTGTCGATACTTGTTGTGTTGAGCCGGTTAACGTAGCCCATTGTGCTGGAAGCACTGTACAAAATTCACATAAATTTGTCCGCAGTGATTCGAGAGCGCCCAATAATAAGGCACAAATTTCTTTATGAATTATTCGAGCATGAGCGAGCCTTGAACTCGAGCCGCCTCCACATTTTGCTGAATTACTGACTTGCGGACCAAAAAAGATTGCTTCCATCGGTCCGGGTGATGTTGCACCACGACAATTTAACTTTCCACTTCCTATCCATGGTTTGTTGCTTTTTGGTGCACTAAAATGAAATGGATAGTTGGATATAAATTATTTAATTGTGATAAATTGTCTATACATGTTGTGGGAATAAAATGACATAAAATTCAATTTATAAATCTCTCTCATTCACATTCACTGCCACATTTATATCTCTTTCTCTCTCGTATGTATTTTTTACTGTCTATATCTCTTGCCTTGCCATTCCGAAATCGACTAATAATTTGCTCATAGCTCTAAATTGATTTATTATGATAGCAATGTTGTTAATTTATTTAGCTACAGAACAGACCAACTTTTTCTATCTTTATTGATTGTTTATTTATCTATACGCCTTTCTCAATCATTTAGAATTTAGTCTTTAATTCCTCGTGTTAAGGTTTTGTGACTTACGGATCTTTGGGGGATGCTAAAGTTTCTCGATTTTTGTCGGAATTTAGATACTGGGGGTCCTCGATTTGAGTAGTTATTTTGTTCCAAAAATTTTCTACTCAAATCGAATCTATTCAAATCGAGGCAAGGAATTCATACAAAATCACATGTTTTGTTCCAGAGTCCAAAAAATGTATCAAAACAATGAAAATTTTTATAATTTTTTGCACATTTTACCTCGTTTCTTAACTTTTCTTTTGTGTTTTAGATGACTTAATTTATTTTAAAGCATATTCATATGTAATTTTAACAGAAATTCACAAAAAATATGTTTTTTCAACAAATCAAAAATATGAGAACCTTACAAATGTTATTTCAACCGAACATTTTGTAAGGTTTTGAAATTTGAACTTTTTAAAACCGTTAATTTTATATCGATTTTTTAAATTTCTACATTAATTTTGTAACTTTAGTATTGATTTTTCTATCAATATGATTATTTCATGATTATTGCATTAAAATTTATGTTTTAAAAATATTTTCTGAAAAGTTTTTGTCAAATATATTTGTTTTGTAAACAATTCAAATCGAAGAAAACAGGAAGAAATCTACTCAAATCGAATATTTTGGTGGGTAAAAATATTTCTATTCAAATCGAATCTACTCAAATAGAATCTACTCAAATCGAGGACCCCCAGTAGTTTTATAAGTGTGAAGGCCGTAATTTGCTGATAATCTGATTGATACTTAATAAATTATCAAGAATTTAAGGTCGATACCATTAATGTAGTGAGCAACGTGAGATTTTCAATCAAATCTATTTAACATTGTTTCCAATGTTAAGAGGATTCGAACACACATCCTACGCTCGATCAGATGGATAAACACTCGATCACAAAAGTCAGATTCTCGCAATGACAGATTCAAGTACATTTATAGCTCGTGATTGCAATCAATTTAGCCATCACATTCACTTTTCATTTAAACATTTGAAGTTTATTAAAATGCTGTCCATAATGTTCATTATCCGAATGTTGCCAAACAGATTTTATAGTTAAAACCAAGCTGCACCCGCTTTTAAATGCCAGTAAAATGGTAGCAACATGAAAGTCACAACCTTTCAATATATACTGATCGGAATAACTCTTGATCCTCTTGATTACTCCTTAAAACTAAGAATGACTCATTTGTGGATAGCTTTGTGACTTCATAGTAACAATAAATTCCCATTTAATGCACAAAAAACATGAGAATCCCCAAAGCAATTTCATGTTTATGTTTTCTTGTTGTTGTCGTTATTTCCTCAAGGTTACATCTAGAAGAAAAAAAAAATTATTTGCTTTCTTTTTCTGTCCAAGTCTAAAAATAAAAGATAGAAGCGAAGCTAATGCGAGTCATAGGCATTTGTTTCAAACATAATAAAAATGCTTCATTTCTTCAATAGTATAGCATGACAGGTGCTTGCGTTTTTCATCTAAAAATAATTGCAGCATCGGGATATTGAAATTTATTTTCGATGTCTTCTTGCAAACGCTTGATTGCTTTCCACTTATTTCTTCTCATCTCGTTTTATGCTACTTGCTTTTTCACATCCCTTTACACTATTACATGATATTGAACTCATGATGCTGTAGTTAATGAGATGTTAAGGAAATTGAAATTGTGAGAGAGACAGAATATTCAATTTTGTGGATTGAAATATATTAAAGATGTAACCAAGAAATTTAACGAAGCTACTTTGATCAGTGAGATAATTGAAAATTGATAGATTTTTATGCTTAATATTTAAAGTTGAGTTATAGCCTTTCAAGGATGTAGACAGGAGGTTATTATTTATTATTTACACTCCATCCATGAACTGTTTTCGTTTTCCAGTTCATAGCACTCAAAAATCATGAATATTGAGAAAATAATCTTCTTACAGCCAAAACCAGACACATATCACTGCAAAATATGCTTAAAGTTTATTTATAAACATCCAAAAATATTTTATTTCGCTATTAAATATCATGTTCACATTAGTTTTATTTTTGAAAATATCTTAGAAGCTTTTAAAAGTCAATTAACTCACAACTCACATCTTCAGTTCTTTCAAATGCTGATAAGTAAACAAAATTTCATTGAAGGATTATTTGCTGTCAAAAAAATGATTGAAATTTGTTTCTTTAACGGGTTAGGTTGGATGGAAATATGCCAGACGGTGAAGAATTTTTTATTCTTAGATGAGGATGGGTTTTAAAGATTTTAATGGAAGATAATTTGAAATACTTGTCATATACTTTTGGCTGTTGTTGCTTATAAACAAGCAATTGTGTCTATATGAGGTAATTGGCAAGATGCTTGACTCAAATTCGACATAATAATACAGAATTCAGGTGTTCGAATCCTATCACATCAAAATCCATAGAGCTTTAGAAGTTTACGTTCTTAATAATAATGTGAGAGGGTTTAAGCCAAGCAATGTGTTATTACACGATGCGACAAGCTCGAGGCACTGCGATCCTTGTTATAGAAAAATCCTGTTCAAATCGAATCTACTCAAATCGAATTATTCACTTTTTGTATGAAAAATGTCCGTTACAAAAACTTTTTTTTAAATTTTCTATTGATTAATTTTCGTTACTCAAATCGAATCTATTCAAATCGAGGACGTCATAGTATTTCAAGCTTAAGACTATTTGTGAGCCTTAATCAACGTTGAATTAAGGAACTAGCCACATAATTACAAGTTAATATAGACTAATTTTAAAACAAAATTATCTCTTTAAATCCGAAACTCTGTTCCTATATGTAGCATCAAAAATTCACAAATAATAAAAATCAGTTCAAACAGACAACTTTAATTGCCAAGTAAATTATGAGTCCATAGAGAAAATGTGTTAATGTGTCAGTAAAGTGCCAGAAAAAATTACAATAAATTATCATTCATCCCATAAATTTAATGTTTAAATATGATGACGTTAGGATGAATAAACCACTTAATTCTCCTCGTTGTCACAATTTTAATTTGATTAATTAAAGATCAGAAGTTAGCAACACTTTAAAAGCTTCAATTTGTCATATTTATTTAGATCTCGAAATCGAGAATGAGAAACCATGAATAGGAACATAAAATTTGCAGTGGTAAAACAAATATATTCATGGCAATTTGTTCCTCACTTCATTTCAAGTTGATTGATATATTACGTTCCTTGATGAATTCGAGGGAGGAAAAAAAATCAATTTTCGGAAATAGTTTTCCCACATCATTTTTCCTCTCCATAACAGCATGATGCTGCATACAACATTTCAGACTCCTTTCATTTATTTCCAATTTTATATTTGCAATATTATTGAATATTTCATTGCTCATAGCATTATACGTGTAGAATGAGTCGTCATGAATCACAACTATTTGGTATTTTGTGGTTTCTCGTTTTGAGGCTGGATGGTATGAATATGAGGAAGTGAGAAACATTTTCTTGCAAAAATTCTATTTTATTTTTTGTGAGCAGGATATTGTACCATTAAAATATTTTTCATGGTTCTCTGCTCCAGTGTTATGAAATATTTGTTTGCAATTTGTTTTCCCCCTCCCTTCCATTAACACAGAAATATTTTTTGATGGACTATTGAGTGAGGTGGTGTGAGGTGTAGTTGGATATCATTTCCGAGTGAAAAATTGCTAGGTTTGACATGTGATTTGAACAATTTTTTACATTTAATGACAGATTTTATTGGGTTTAAATTTATTTTTTGTATCCCAAATGGCCCAAGTTGGTTAATCGATCAGAAATCTGGCACCAAGTCAGTGTGGGATTTAAATCGAAGCCAGTGTCATGCTAAAGTCAATCTGACTTGGCGCTGGATTTATATTCGATCAACTGACTTGTGCTATTCGGGTATGTTTCATGTTTTTATGGATGAGGAACTGCTTTTAGGTGCTAGATATTAAATAATTCTTGTTCCATTTTTCATCCAAGGGTACAAAATATACGAACGATCCCTAAAGTTAATCATGTTTCCGCTTAATCATTGATTCATTCTTTTAGAGTCCGAATCAAATTTAACCAAAATAAATCGAAATGCTGTGTGCCACTGGAACTCTGAAGTTAGAATTAAATGGTAGCCGTTAGAACTTGATCGAAATTCATTCGTGTGCTCTTCGACTTCTTCCCATAGTAACTGTAAGCAACCCCATAATTTTTAATCATAAGAACGTTGTAAGCTATGTGAATCGATTCACATCCTTCACATCATAAAAAATAAAACCGGAAAAAGGACGAACTATTTTCTTTTTTGCCTCAAAGCCATGTTGACCTTCTAAACTTTTGGACTAGCCATACATTTCCCACTCTTATCATTTCATTAGCTCCATTGAGACCACTTTAAATGTAGAGAATCTAAAGAAATCCAATTTATCTATAATTTTTTTTTCCTTCTACTGCTCGTTTCCTTTTCAAACTAAAATTGGAATCGAAATCAAATTTCATGTAAGGCAGAGTTATTGGTATCAAGATGCATATGAAAATTTCCACAAGATAAATTGAAAGCTTTTAGTTCTTCGTTCTATATTCGTTAAGGGGTTTATGAGGAAAAATAATGTATTTTGAAGCTTTAAAGTTAGAGAATAATTGAAGATGAAATTTCATTGGAAAATGTTAAAGCTGT